AAACTACGGGTTACGGAAACTCTGTCACTACTTTAGCAACCCTCTATACGTACATGCAAGACATCACAAAGAAATAGGTTCTTGGCCTTGTTGATTTTTTCAATTGCTGAAAGTGTGTGCCCCCTGTAAAATTACTTGTTTTTACCAAACATGCTGTTTAAAAGCAATGATCACAAATAATGCCGGTCTTGACATCTATAATTACCGGCAAGTGATTTCTAACCATGTTTTCGAAATTGCCAATGATCATATAAGATGTCACAAAAACAAATTTCATGCTGAAAATGCACTTTAAAGACAACCAGTCATTTAAATCCAGAAAAGTCACTTCATCGAAGAAATCCTCCCTGGCCATTCGAAGCTGTGGCTTAAATTAATGTGGTGTGATGCCGATGTCATAAGAAATGCATTGTCCAGTTTGATTATTAAACGAAACGTTACAACAGAAAACTTTTCATTCTTTTAAAAGAAAACGGATACAGTAAAAACATGCAAAACTTTTCGTTTTGGAGACTGTTCCAAAATACATAATGATGATGATGACGATGACGATGACGATCAATTTAAACCCCGCTAATTGTTGTGATAATACATATCTTGCAGAAACAACCGAATTATTCACATCGTGTCCGCATAAACTAGTGAAACATATACATGTATGATGCAAATGTGTCGTCTGCAAAATTCCTGTAATTGTGCCATTCAATTTTCATTCTGCTTTTATTCACATATATCGCAGAAACAGACGAATCTTTCACATCGTGTTGACTGTTAAAGATTGCTGCACGTATAAATAGTGTCATTCGGGTTTGCCTAAAATACGAAAGTGAGATTTTTGACGAAAGTGAGCGAAAGTGAGCGAAAGTGACTTTTAAAATTTAAATTGCACCGTTTTAATAGAAGTTTACAGTAAAATTGTTGTTTGAAGACGTATATTATTAGCAACTTATTATATATATTATTATAATAAATAACCATAATCATGATTAAATCGCCATTTATTTGCCTAATTTCTATATTCAAGTTTAGTTACCTTCCTTGTGCTGGCATAGAAAAATACGAAAGTGACTTGTAAACTATTAGAAATAGAGTTTAAATATTAGTAGTATAACTTTCAATTCAACGCTTTATTTCATATTTGACAAGTCACTTTCGTATTATTTAATGTGAACGAAAGGAAGATCTCAGAACTTGTGTATAGATATTATGCAAACAAATGATCATCATAATGATTATTTTTGAAAATAAATATTATATATTTCTGATAATATACGTCTACAAACTGCAATTTTAGTATAAATTTCAATTTAAACTCTATAAGTAGACTTCTATATTTAATATTTTACAAGTCACTTTCGCATTTTTCAAAGTGAGCGAAAGGAAAGTTTCAGAACTTGTGCATAGAAATTATGTAAATAAATGGCAATTAAATCATCATAGTGATTATTTTTGAAAAGAAATATTATAAGTTGCTAATAATATACGTCTGCAAATACCAATTTTACAATAAAATTCTATTAAAACGGTACAATTCAAATTTTAAAAGTCACTTTCGCTCACTTTCGCTCACTTTCGTCAAAAATCTCACTTTCGTATTTTAGGCATACCGGTGTCATTCACTGTTTTTTTTTTTTTTTTTTTTTGTCGTTAACTTATCATTCAAATACGATAGAATTTATTGAACACAGTATAGGTCATATGGCGACGTCCCAGCTTTATTGCTGCAGAAAGACTTCAGTTGCCCTTCTGGGCATTATTTCACCTGAGTAGAACCACCGAAAATAGCACAATATCTTGTCGCGCAGTACAATTAGTTGGACTAAAGAACGGTATGATACGGCACAGTACGGTATTATTTCAGCGGCTGCGACAACAACAACAGCGACAACAACAACAACAACAACTGATTTGCAAAAATCAATTTCTGATTAAAGTATTTCTATCATTTGTCAACCATATATAAAGGTTGTTTGCAGTTATTTATTATATTAATATACAGACGGAGTTAAATGTTAACGCAAAACTTCACATATTATTTAAAATAACTTGTTTAAATATTTCGGATATTTGCCATTTCGGATATCGTAAACAAAACCATATTTTATACATAGGCACTCGGTTCCACAACTTTCTATGATTTTTAATTTATTTTAAAAAAAAATTTTATAATTTGTATATAAAATACTACAAGGTTTCGCAGCCGCCATGTTTTAACGCAACGGAAGTGCATTGACTGCTTTACAATTTTAAGAAATATTACCGGCTCCCCAGTCAAATTTAAAAGAATATTGTCGATGGGGTACCACGGGCAAATAGTCAATAATTGTTGTACCCGTATTAACCTATAGTCTTTTTTCATCGAATCCGGAATTAGTGTTTAATTGGAAATTGTAAACCAGTCAACGCACTTCCGTTGCGTTTAAACATGGTGGCTGCGAAACCTTGTAGTATTATAGAACTGTCGCGATTGATTATAAAGGGATTGACAATACAAACAATTGACTTACCTTCTACGTCTGGATCGTAGCCAAGCTAGGAATTGCCTACTTTTGCTGGTTATATATTATACACAAATATGGAACCCAACTGTCAGACCTAACACACTAGTTCCGGTTGGTCCAGAACCTTCCGTTAACTTCCTTCAACTCCCATAACCAGTATCAAATGGTTGTAAAGTATTTTATATTGTAACAGGACGGACAAACGGACACACAGTGATCCCAATTAACATCCTAGTTATTTACCAAGGGTCATTGAAGATTAAATTGAAAATTCAAATATGAAGAACATACTAGGCATTTCAGAGTTCAATAGTTTCATTGCAAAATAGATTTAAGATAATCTGTTTCTATGCCAAAATATCAAATTGATTTCTTAAAGTATCACGAAATGAAAATATTAGTTAAAAAAATACATCAGAGGGAAAATAGAGAATAATGACCATGTCAGGTGATACTAGGTATACCTTTGGTATCTATAGACAAGGCAATAAAATGACCGAGAATACTGGCTTATTTAGCCACTTCTCTCTGCAATCACACAATTCATAATAAAATGCATGACTAAAAAAATAAATAACAAAAAGAGGAATGGTACAAAATATTGAGAAAACAATATCAAGAATAAATATTTTGCTGTTTAAATGTATTGAAGTGTATTAAGTTAAATTTAGTTAACAACCCTCTATTACATAAAACCTTACATAAGATATATGACTAGCATGAATATCATGAAATAATGCATTAAGTTATGCTTACTGTTACCATAGATGGGAAAAATAGTGCTGGCTGAATGATTTTGAAAAGATACCAAATGTATTGACAATTAATAAATAAGGCTAAGGAAAAATATTCATTGTTAATACATTATTGTGATTATGAGATTCTATCAGTAAAATGTAATGATAGGCATTCCTGCTAATATATATACAAAAATTTTTTTTATTTATTCACGAATTTAAGAAGATTGTGAGCTTTGAATCCTTGTGCCTATGATTTTATACATGTAATATACCGTATTTATCAAGATATGTATTGTATTATCCGCAGAATTTAAAATGAAAGTTTTGAATAGTGAGCCTTTGAAGGATGTGATATTTCACACAAAGTCAGATAGTTCTTTGCAAGTTGTAGAGATCCTTTTTTAGGCACAAAACCATAATTAATTATTTTTCACCCCCTCATGATAAGGGATACAAGGATACAAGGGTTACACAAGGTTACAGTGCATTCTTAACATTGGTGAAAAAGAATTGAACCGTGTCACGACAAAACCAACATAGTGCGTTTGCGACCAGCATGGATCCAGACCAGCCTGCGCATACGCGCAGTCTGATCAGGATCCATGCTGTTCGCTTACCAACTCTATTACAAGTAGAGAAACTGATAGCGAACAGCATGGATCCTAATCAGACTGCGTAGATGCGCAGGCTGGTCTGGATCCATGCTGATCGCAAACGCACTATGTTGGTTTTGTCATGACGCGGCTCAATTGTGTTTGTAGGACATATCTATTTAGGACTGCCGTAGACATTTTTGGTATGGAGCTCCAAACGCCTTTAGTAAAATAAATATTTGATGATTCAGCACATAAACTTATCAAATATATCAATAAAACCAAATATATGCTGTTTTGAAAAAAAATATATTTCTATGTGTGTTATGATATACAAGATAAAAAAATGTTTACTTGTAAATTCCAAACACTACTCTCAAAATCACCTTGTATTTTATTTATGATCTGGATCCATGCTGGTCGCAAACCCATTATGTTGGTTTTGTCATGATGCGTCTCACCTTGTATTTTATTCCATGTTCACTATTTTCACATTATCCTTTAATACATCCATGTAATACATATTATTCTTCATGATCATGGTCAATTTTAAACTTGATCTTCAATGTAAATAACACAGTATGCGAAATAAACATTATAATTATCACTGTTTTATTGTATTTATAAAATCTTTTGACAAAGTCGAATGTGGTTCTCGGCTTTGTCATATTCAAATATGTCGCACTTTGAATGTTAGAACCAGTCTGGTTATAGTCAGAACCATTGAAACAAGGAATTACATGAATTTACAGTGTATATTTATAGAGATCACGAGGGAATTTAAGATATTAATTTGAAATCCAGAGCTACATGTATGACTGGTAATTTGTAATTTCAATATTCTTGATAACTAGTCAAAAGTTTGAGAGTTTATATCATATACCAATCACATTTTTTGGGTTTGTTATTGCAACACAAATTATCAGAATTATTGTAATTGTTTTATTGCAGCATGAAAACTCAGTTGTGAAAAGATGCCTGGCAAGGTCAAGGTAAAGGTTGTTGCAGCACGGGGTCTACCTGTGATGGACAGATCAACAGACCTGACAGATGCTTTTGTGGAGGTGAGATGTTTTGAGCTTTAAAGCAGGCCTCCAGATTCATGCTAAAATTCATTAAAATTTAATTGAATGTGTAATAATCTGAAGTAACAAAAAGGAAGCAATTTACACATTATCAATGGCACCTACAAACCATGTAAATAACCAAAACGTTGTCAAAATATGCATATAGCATTTACTGCATTAGTAACGCAGTAGAAATACTGTTGTAGATAATGAAAAATCACTCATTGCACATAATATGTAAACTATTACTTGAAACTTTTACTTTTCCTTACATCTTAGTACATTTCTCTCAAGTTTGATTTTATTGAAATATTTTGACTCATCTGGAGGCATGTAGCTTTAACTGACGGTCTGATCAATAGGGAAAAAATAGTGTAAATTGGCCGAGAAATTCAGCCTGTATAGTTGCAGAGCAAATTTCAAGGGTCATTGAATTGAATAAGGCTGCACATTTATTATGGGAAAATATGTATATTTATTATTTGAATAGATAGAATAGTTCAGTTGAAACATTGGTATATTAAAGGGAATTATAGAATTTGCAGTTGACTACTTATTTTTTAGTATTTAGTATTTATTTGAATAGAGAATATATTAACTGGCAATGAAGTTTACATTTATTTATTTGAAGTCGAATATTTGAAACCTTCATTACAGATTAAGTTTGGAAGTGAAGTACAGAAGACTGAAGTTTACAAGCGGTCACTGAACCCACAATGGAACTCAGAATGGTTCAAATTTGAAGTAGAGGATGAAGTGCTACAAGATGAGCCCCTTGAATTGAGGTAAAAACGTAAAATTAAAGAGTTGTGGGTCTTGGACAGTAATGTATAGTTATGACACTGAAAATGTGTCCTGTCTTGGTCTTGAACCAAATATATCATCTATAATTTATTTAGTTATTTTTAGAGCTATCAACAATAATTTTTTTCAGATTGAAACTATATTGATGTATTGTAAATATTTATCTGTCAATCAATAATCAGTACACAGTTTAAGATTTGAGGTAATGGTCTTTCACAGTAACTAATAGTTATGACAGTAGGGGATAGTTATGGCACAAGGGCATTTGGAATTTGTATGATAATTTTTTCATATTGTTTATACAGGGTATTGGACCATGATACATACAGTGCCCATGATGCTATTGGCAAGGTTTATATTGACCTTAATCCATTGTTGGTAAAGGAAAGTCCCTCTGTTATAACTGGATGGTTCCCCATCTATGACACCATGCATGGTATGATTTTTACTTACTAATTTGGTATACCCAGGTAGCCAGATAAATTGGCATGCCCAGATAACAAGTAAATTTGGCATACCCAGATAGCCAGATATACATGGCATGCCTGGAATAGTTTGTTAAGTTGATGCACCCAAATGACCAGCTAATTTGGCATGTCCAGATAACAAGTTAATTTGGTATACCCAGTTAGCCAGATAAATTGGCATACCCAGGTGGCCAGATATTTGGCATACCCAGATAGCCAGTTAATTTGATATACCCAAATGACCAGCTACTTTGGCATGTCCAGATAACAAGTTAATTTGGCACACCCAAATAGCTAGTAAAATTGGTATACCTAAATGAGCAGCTAATTTGGCATGCCAAAGTAAAAAATTATTTGGCATGCCCTGAGATATTTTAGTATACCCAGATAATTGGCATATCCAGATGGCCACATGTAGTTAATTTGGCATACCTGGATAGTCAGATTATTTGGCATACCTTGGCATTAAGATGAGTTGATTTTATAAGTCCCCTACCGGTTTACCGGAGGGGACTTTAGGTTTACCCTCCGTCCGTCTGTCCGTCCGTCTGTCTGTCAGTCCGTCAGTCCGTCCGTCCACAAAACTGGATCCCGCGATAACTTGAAAAGTACTGAAAATATTTTTATGAAACTTGATATATGGATAGATGGCAGTATGGAGATTATGCACGTCTTTTTCTTTTCTTCCTATGTTCAAAATTCTGGTTGCTATGGCAACAAATAGGCTGAAAATATGGCAAATTTTACACATAAACTGGATCCAGTGATAACGCAAAAAGTACTGGAAATATTTTTATGAAACTTGATATATGGATAGATGGCAGTATGGAGATTATGCACGTCTTTTTCTTTTCTTCCTATGTTCAAAATTCTGGTTGCTATGGCAACAAATAGGCTGAAAATATGGCAAATTTTACACATAAACTGGATCCAGTGATAACGCAAAAAGTACTGGAAATATTTTTATGAAACTTGATATATGGATAGATGGCAGTATGGAGATTAGGCACGTCTTTTTCTTTTCTTCCTTTGTTGAAAATTCTGGTTGCTATGGCAACAAATAGACTGAAAATATGGCAATTTTTACACATAAACTGGATCCAGTGTTAACGCAAAAAGTAATAGAAATATTTTTATGAAACTTGTAATATGTGTAGATGGCAGTCTGGAGATTATACACGTCTTTTTCTTTTCTTCCTATGTTGAAAATTCTGGTTGCTATGACAACACATAGACTGAAAATCTGTCAGTCCGTCAGTCCGTCCGTCCACAAAACTGGATCCCGCGATAACTTGAAAAGTACTGAAAATATTTTTATGAAACTTGATATATGGATAGATGGCAGTATGGAGATTATGCACGTCTTTTTCTTTTCTTCCTATGTTCAAAATTCTGGTTGCTATGGCAACAAATAGGCTGAAAATATGGCAAATTTTACACATAAACTGGATCCAGTGATAACGCAAAAAGTACTGGAAATATTTTTATGAAACTTGATATATGGATAGATGGCAGTATGGAGGTTATGCACGTCTTTTTTTTTTCTTCCTATGTTGAAAATTCTGGTTGCTATGGCAACAAATAGGCTGAAAATATGGCAAATTTTACACATAAACTGGATCCAGTGATAACGCAAAAAGTACTGGAAATATTTTTATGAAACTTGATATATGGATAGATGGCAGTATGGAGATTATGCACGTCTTTTTCTTTTCTTCCTATGTTGAAAATTCTGGTTGCTATGGCAACAAATAGACTGAAAATATGGCAATTTTTACACATAAACTGGATCCAGTGTTAACGCAAAAAGTAATAGAAATATTTTTATGAAATTTGTAATATGTGTAGATGGCAGTCTGGAGATTATACACGTCTTTTTCTTTTCTTCCTATGTTGAAAATTCTGGTTGCTATGACAACACATAGACTGAAAATATGGCAAATTTTACACATAAACTGAATCCAGTGGTAACTCAAAAAGTACTGGAAATATTTTTATGAAACTTGACATATGGGTAGATGGCAATCTTGAGATTATGCAGGTCTTATCAGTTCCCCCTATTTTGAAAAAATATTGGTTGCCTTGGCAACAAATAGGCTTAAAACATGGCAAATATAACAATATTTGTGACTAGTCAAAAAGAGCTGAAACTTTTTATGAAATTGCATCTTTAATTCCAGAGTTATCTCCTCTTTAAGAATTTTGCTTTTTAAAATGTTATATTTTGGTAACAGGGATGTTTCAAATATTAACTTTAGAGTGTCCTTCAGTTCGTCTGTCTGTCTGTTCATAAAAACTTTTTCCTGTGATCACTTTTAAAGAACATTTCCAACAAATTTACTTAAAATAGAGAAAAATTTACACATTAGTGAATGGCCAATGGCCCTTCAGAATGATGATGGGGTTCTATCCGGTAGGGGACTTATGGATTGCTTGCAATACTATGATAATTGCTTGTTACTTAATATTTTTGATTGTGAAACCTTTTTGAATACTTTTCTCTTCATTTTTGTTAAAAAAAATGTTTATAACCATTTAGTGTGCAAATTTTGATATTCATTGTTGCTGTGTTTTTACATGTTTTTTTGTGGGTTCTTTAAGTTCAGGTAGTTTTTTGTTTCCTAATATTGATAGTTAAATGTATTTGCAGGTATACATGGAGATATAAATAGCTAAATTTATTTGCAGATATACATGGAGATTTAAATAGTTAAATGTATTTGCAGGTATACATGGACATATTTTAAATAGTTAAATGTATTTGCAGGTATACATGGATATATTTTAAATAGTTAAATGTATTTGCAGGTATACAGTACGCTCACCGCGGGTTTTGCTTTTTCCGCGATACCACCGCGGACGATTTTTTTTTATCGCGGACAAACGCGGGGGTTCGTCCGTGATGAGAAGCCTAATTTTCCCGCTATCCCCGGTGTTCAGTTGTTTCCACCGCGGACAAAATTCTGACAACCGTTCTTCATTTATCGATAAAATCAGGCACCCGTTTCCCGCGGGGGAACGCCATGGTCAGTTGGTCAGTATAAATTAACCTCCAAAAATAATAGAGGTTTTATTATTTTTTAACGTCATCTTTTTACACAATGACTTGAAAATTGACCACAATCGTCTCCTTTAATGTTATTATACGTTAAATTATTTGAACGGAATTTGAAATAAAAATAATTACAGCTGTACCTGTTTTTGTTGTTGTTTTTAATATTTTTGTTATAAACGTCCACAAAACTATTCGTCCACATACCAATATTTTTACAACTGAAATCGTCATTTATCACTGTCATCTTTACTTGTTCATTCCTTGTGGTTCTATAAGTAATATTGCTGTTAAACTATATGGGGGCCATAAATATGATACTTAGTAAAAAAAGGACATTTGTGCTGATTTCTCAATGATGACTGACGCTACAGTACATGTCCTGTAAGAGGTCGATGAGTGTGAATACAAGACAGGACATAAATAAAATACATGTACATATATTAATAATAATTAGGCTGCCTTTTACAAATTATAAAATTACATTATTATCCTTGGAATTAATTTCAATGAAAACTTAATATAATAAATACAAGAAAGCAAAGACAATTACGTTCAATTGTATGTACTTAAAACTACATGTTGTCTACAAATACTATTATTCCTATGAACAATAATATCTTAAGATAAAAATAAAATGAAATATTTTTAACTTGAAAATCTGTCGATGGAAGTTCTTAGAAAATAACTGCCATGTGCTTGTTTGCCTTATATACATGTATGTACATGCATACTGTTCATAATAAAATAACAAAAGTATCACGTCAAGTTTAACAAAATTCTGCAAAAAAAATCTATAAAAAATAAAAAAGAACAAGCAAACAACCTACTAAAACAAAAATGAAAATAAACTTCAACAGTTGATACAAACTTCAAAACATATACATTACGCTCACACCTGTAATTAGATAAATCAAGAATATCATTTAATGTATATTTTGGTGAAATAAACGCTTTCTTTTATGTTCCAAATAAAATATAAGACTTTATGATCAACATGCAAATAAACAGAAACAGTAAAACGCATCTGACAATTGAAAGAGACGTCCTATTGCCTGAATAAAATTGTTGAGGGTTACGTTTTCAAAGTTTTTAAATAAGAAACAAAAGCTAGCATATAAATTGTTGTAGTATCTTTTTCATAAATGTCATATGCCGAATTTTTCATTATTTGACTTCAAGTTTCTCACTACCATGAAGTTGCGACGACAATGATTTATCTTGATGTCGAATACATATTATACAATACCCAACACAATAACAAGAAGAAGAACAAGAAAAACACTGCATTTGTACATGTACTTTTATAATTACAACAAAAAAGAAAGAAAACAAACAAATTTTACATATAGTTACATGTATATGTACAGTATAGTTACAGTACATGTACGTACGTATACTGATGTTTAAATACAGTAATTAATTTTTAAAATTTAAGGTTTCCACGGCGTTGACCGGTGTTTGACCGCCGCGTTCCTTCGCAATTGACCACTGCGTTCCGCGGGGGAAACGGTTTCAGCCGCCGATTTATGTCCGCGGTGGTGAAAATTTTCTGTCCGCGGGGTCACGCGGACAATATCTGAGCAAATTTTCGTCCGCGGTAAACCTCATCCGCGGGGTCACGCGGGTTTTGAAAAAGCCGCGCTGAGCGTTACCTGTATGTGTAGATTTAAATAGTTAAATGTATTTGCAGATATACATGGAGATTTAAATAGTTAAATGTATTTGCAGGTATACATGGAGATTTAAATAGTTAAATGTATTTGCAGGTATACATGGATATATTTTAAATAGTTAAATGTATTTGCAGGTATATGTGTAGATTTAAATAGTTAAATGTATTTGCAGGTGTACATGGTGATTTAAATAGCTAAATTTATTTGCAGATATACATGGAGATTTAAATAGTTAAATGTATTTGCAGGTATACATGGAGATTTAAATAGTTAAATGTATTTGCAGGTATACATGGATATATTTTAAATAGTTAAATGTATTTGCAGGTATATGTGTAGATTTAAATAGTTAAATGTATTTGCAGGTATACATGGAGATTTAAATAGTTAAATGTATTTGCAGGTATACATGGAGATTTAAATAGTTAAATGTATTTGCAGGTATACATGGAGATTTAAATAGTTAAATGTATTTGCAGGTATACATGGAGATTTAAATAAATAGTTAAATGTATTTGCAGGTATACATGGAGATTTAAATAGTTAAATGTATTTGCAGGTATATGTGTAGATTTAAATAGTTAAATGTATTTGCAGGTATACATGGTGATTTTTATAGTTAAATGAATTTGCAGGTAGACATTGAGATTTGAATAGTTAAATGTATTTGCAGGTATACATGGAGATTTAAATAGTTAAATGTATTTGCAGGTATACATGGAGATTTGAATAGTTAAATGTATTTGCAGGTATACGTGGAGATTTAAATAGTTAAATGTATTTGCAGGTATACGTGGAGATTTAAATGTCCTGGTGAAGATAGACTTGTTCAGTGATTTTAATAAGTTCAGACAGTCGTCCTGTGGAATACAGTTCTTCTGTAGTAAGTGAATATAGTTTATATTGCTTGACTTACTTTACATAGTAAAATTATTTCTATAAAGACAACTTCTGATACATATCATAATTATGTATCATATCTCAAGGTCACAATTAGATATAATATCACAAAATCATTTTTATGAATCGTGTATCAAGATTAAGATTATATATCATATCACAAGATCATAATTAAAGCAGCATGCCTACAGATTCATGCTAATTTTTGTGAAAATCTTGAAAATGTTTTTAAAAGTAAAATATTGTGAAGTGATTTACAAAGAAAGTAATTTACATATTGATAATGGCATTTACAATCCGCATAAATTACCAAAAAATGTCAAAATATGCAAAATAAGTCATTCAACACACAAAAAATGTATACTATAGCTTTAATCAAATATTAGTACATTTTTCTTGAAATATTTTGCTTATCTAGAGGCATGCAGCTTTAATATATCATCAGTCTCCCGACCACGGTTATTTATCGTATCTCAAGATACATTCAATTATATAATCTCCAGAAATTTCTAGACTACATAGAACTGATATGTCTTCTTAGGGAGCACAGATTTTATACACTTGACTTTCAGTTCTTTGTAAGACATGTTTATCATAGTAAATTGGCACTTAAAAATTTTTTTTTCTTCTGCTTTAACATAAAATGATTATAAAGTGGCAGCTTTGCCGAGTGGATAACATGTCACACTAGTAATCTAATGGTTGCTAACCGCATGGGTTCAAACGGGGCTGAATTGTTTCCTTGAGCAAGAAACTTTACACTTATTGCTCAATACTGGTTGGTTAAAGTGTATATTACTGAATCGAACTAAAATAAATCTGTATAAACCAAATGATTTATGCTTAATTATAAACAAAATAGAACTTGTACTGAATTCACTGGTTAACAGTTATTGTCCAAAAAAAGCTGTTGTGAAATGGCCTTTAATCCAAACAAATAGAGAAGAAAATGAATTTTTTCAAATGCTAATATTTAGAAGACTTTGCTTTTGTTGTGTTCTTTGACTTTTAAAGAAAAGGAGTTTTTCATACCATATCTTCTTCAGCTGCTGAGGTACCTTCTGGTTACCGGCTACAGTATGTACATGGCTTTGTTGAGGAACTAGTGGTAAATGACGATCCCGAGTACCAGTGGATTGACAAAATTAGGACACCAAGATCCTCAAATGAGGCCAGACAAAGGCTGTTCTCAAAAATGTCAGGTAGACTTTTTATGTTTTTTCTTGCTGTTTTTATTTGTAACAAGGTTTTCAGATGGAAATTGATTTGTAAATGTTGGCAAGCCGGTTTAAACAATTTTTTCTTTGCACAACTCCTATATTTGAGACGCGCAATGACAAAACCGTGACAAACCATGATATAACCAACATAGTGTGTTTGCAACAAGCATGGATCCAGACCAGCCTGCGCATACGCCCAGTCTGATCGGGATCCATACTATTCGCTACCAGTTTCTCTACTTGTAATAGGGTTTGTAGGCGAACAGCATGGATCCTAATCAGACTGCATAAATGTGATGACTGGTCTGAATACATATTGGTCGCAAACGCACTATGTTGGTTTTGTCTTGGCGCAACTCAATTTCTATTTGTGTTTCAATAGAAATTTCACTGAACTATTGTCACCCTACTCGCATGTTGTAGAGAAATCATTGGTAGGACTGTGTACAGTACGCTCAGCGCGGCTTTTTCAAAACCCGCGTGACCCCGCTCAGATATTGTCCGCGTGACCCCGCGGACAGAAAATTTTCACCACCGCGGATATAAATCGGCGGCTGAAACCGTTTCCCCCACAGAACGCAGTGGTAAATTGCGGAGGAACGCGGCGGTCAAACACCGGTCAACGCGGTGGAAACCTTAAATTTTAAAATTTATTACTGTATTTAAACATCAGTACACGTACGTACATGTACTGTAACATGTACTGTACATATACATGTAACTATATGTAAAATTTGTTTGTTTTCTTTCTTTTTTGTTGTAATAAATGTACATGTACAAATGCAGTGTTTTTCTTGTTCTTCTTCTTGTTATTGTGTTGGGTAATGTATAATATGTATTCGACATCAAGATAAATCATTGTCGTCGCAACTTCATGGTAGTGAGAAACTTGAAGTCAAGTAATGAAAAATTCGGCATATGACATTTATGAAAAAGATACTACAACAATTTATATGCCAGCTTTTGTTTCTTATTTAAAAACTTTGAAAACGTAACCCTCAACAATTTTATTCAGGCAATATTCCAGGACGTCTCTTTCAATTGTCAGATGCGTTTTACTGTTACTGTTTATTTGCATGTTGATCATATAGTCTTATATTTTATTTGGAACATTAAAAGAAAGCGTTTATTTCACCAAAATATACATTAAATGATATTCTTGATTTATCTAATTACAGGTGTGAGCATAATGTATATGTTTTGAAGTTTGTATCAACTGTTTATTTTCATTTTTGTTTTAGTAGTTTGTTTGCTTGTTCTTTTTTATTTTTTTATAAATTTTTTTTGCAGAATTTTGTTAAACTTGTATTCACACTCATCGACCTCTTACAGGACATGTACTGTAGCGTCAGTCATCATTGAGAAATCAGCACAAATGTCCTTTTTTTACTAAGTATCATTTTTATGGCTCCCATACAGTTTAACAGCAATAATACTTATAGAACCACAAGGAATGAACAAGCAAAGATGACAGTGATAAATGACGATTTCAGTTGTAAAAATATTGGTATGTGGACGAATAGTTTTGTGGAAGTTTATAACAAAAATATTAAAAACAACAACAAAAACAGGTACAGCTGTAATTATTTTTATTTTAAATTCTGTTCAAATAATTTAACGTATAATAACATTTAAGGAGACGATTGTGGTCAATTTTCAAGTCATTGTGTAAAGAAGATGACATTAAAAAATAATAAAACGTCTATTATTTTTGGAGGTTAATTTATACTGACCAACTGACCATGGCGTTCCCCCGCGGGAAACGGGTGACTGATTTTATCGATAAATGAAGAACGGTCGTCAGAATTTTGTCCGCGTTGGAAACAACTGAACACCGGGGATCGCGGGGAAATTAGGCTTCTCATCGCGGACGAACCCCCGCTTTTGTCCGCGATAAAAAAAATCGTCCGCGGTGGTATAGGGGAAAAAGCAAAACCCGCGGTGAGCGTACTGTATTTGTGACTATACATTTCACTACCACTTGTTTGTTACATGAAGAAGAGCATTTGAATTTTGACAAAAAATTTTGTCTTTAATATAATTTGTGATGTATTTAAACTTTTTATTGTAAACAACAAAAACAAATTGAACTACTAGAGATGAAACTTACAATAACATTTTAATATTGGAGATAATGACTGAGTAAGCTAGGAGTATTAAATTGAAAATTTTAATTTTAGAATTAATCTTGTATAATGTGGGCATACAAGCAATAAAGTATTGTTCAGCTAGTATATGGAATGTCAGTGGTTATATGCACACCTTAAAATATATAAGAAGGGTCTTCCTCTGCCACTCTAAGCTGGAAAGTCGCCATATGACTTCTACTATATTGATGTGACATAATACAAGAAGAAAATAAAAAACCCAAAGACCAGCCAATAAACAATAGATATTTATATTTCTGTTGTATCAAAGTGACTTTTATCTATACTCTGGTTGATGATAGAAATACAAAAGAAAATCTAAATGAGCTGCATCATTACAAAACCAACATAATGTGTTTGCGACCAGAATGGATCCAGACCAGCTTGTGCATTCGCGCAGTCTGATCAGGATCCATGCTGTTCGCTATCAGTTTCTCTACTTGCTATAGTGTTTGTATCCTGATCAGACTGCGCGGATGCGCAGGCTGGTCTGGATCCATGCTGGTCGTAAACCCATTATGTTGGTTTTGTCGTGACGTGGCTCAAATGTGTGTAATAGATTTATTATTATAATCGTAAATAAAGGTTCCATATTATAGAATGTAAAATACATTGTATTCATATTAATGTTTTATGTTAATCATTTTTAGGGCAGCTTGCCAGAAAGATTGGCCTTAAGGTACTTGAAATGGGAGGCAGTGCTGTAATTGGGTAAGTTTTGGAAAAGACAGGGAGAAGTAGAAGGTTCTCACGGCTTTGCATGGACGGTAGCTTGCACTTTCTTGTACCTTCTATGAACAGTTAATCTGAGTCTTCAACCTTTTCCATTTTGCTGTTTTTGATGTTCTTTAGGGTTTCTGTATATATGTACTCTATAACTTAGCAGTTAAGGTCGCTGAGTATAACTTGGTTGTTACCACTTTATACTTTGTATTTACCTCTTTATGTCAGAGGTTTGAGTCTTTAAAAAAAAGCTTTCCTGGTAGTTGACGGAAGATTGGTGGTTTTACCAAAGTTCCCCTTTGAGATTATGCCAACAAGAAAGCTTTCTCAGTAGTACCGATGTTGGTTGATATTCTGAGGTGCAACTTATTATGACCAACTTTTGGGAATATGGCAATGTTTTAAATAAGTTGTGGAATGTATACCCACTTATGTTGAGTATAAAATTTAATACACTGTCTGACAACTTTGTCAGGGAATCATTGCTGTGGCTTTGTAATCTAGGACATTTTTTGGTGATCTATAGGTCAAGTTGGTTAGAATCCCATACACAGCAGGTTCATAAAAGATACATGGGTGTACTCTAATCAGTGATTTATATAATTGGTGTGATTTAAGATCAAACTGGAAAAGAAAATAATTAATGAAATTTCACATTATTTGTAACAGGTAAATATATATATCTAGTCAGTATTCTTTAAGAACATATGATATACACCCTCGTACCACTAAATATGTAGAATGGCATTGAATTTTAAGTTTAATTTTCAGTTTTTAGCTTGTCTTTTAGAAGTATAGGGAGAGCTATTGTACTTAACCAGAAGTTGGCATCACATTTTAATTAAGATTTTTCGTGCAAGTTTATATCTCCGAAACTACTGAAGGGAATGGATTGAAACTTCACCCACTTGTTCTCTGTAATTTGACATGAATAGCTCAATTTCCGTAACTCTGATTTGCTTTTTTGCATGATTATCCCCATAAATTCTACATTATCCAGGCTCTTATTTTACTTTCAAGCACTGAGAATAGTCAAGCACAGTGCGCTTCTGACAGCTCTTGTTTAAACCAATATATATTTTAATTCTGAATGTACAGGATGTTCCAGAAAAAAAATAAAACTAAATAAAAAATAAAAAGTTCTGAAACACGCTGTATTTCAATGCAAAATTTAAGTCCGAGCATTCAGTCTTAAATTATCCTCATTTGTAATGAGGCCAGTTCATCTGATTAGTTGTTTATCTAAGTTACTGTTATTTTAGTTACAAGCAGTGCTTTGATCTGGAAGGCGAGTCAGGTATTGTGATCAGAGGTATTGGTACAGCTGTGACCTTGGCCAAGCTGCGCGATCCTCAGGTGTCGCCACTTGGGGCATCACCTTTGAAAGAGTAAGTATTTTCCTTCCTTTTTTACCACCCCACCTTTTTTTCCTTTTCAAATAAAGATTAGAGTAAGGGCATTCTACAGATAATTGTTGGTTTGCTTTTAATTTTATTTCTAAGAAAAATCTCAAATAAAAAATCTCACTGGATTTTAACCTAAAAAAAAAATATTTTGCTATTTACGAAATGTGGAGTATTCTATGCTTAATGAAAAATATGAGCTTTGTAGCTTTGTAAAAGGCGAACCAACATTTGTCAAAGAATGCCTATATATAAAATATTTGGGGGGAAAAAGCCATGATTTGTAAGCACTCTTCATCGTAGACATGTTGATGGGCTCTTGTTGGATTTTAGGGTGAATCAGTCATGTAAATCTTTTAATAATTATGGGTCCGGCTCTTTTTAGAGAACAGGTTTATATATATGAAATTTTCGATATAATTTTTCGAACAAAATTTGATTTCTCTATATTATTGCACATGTTATAAAATACACTCCATTGTGTCATTGATGTCTGCTTGATAATAAAAAATGTTCAACACTGTTTTCTTTTAAGCTCACCTGACCACGAAGTGGTCAAGGTGAGGTATAGTGATGGGGCTATGTTCGTTGTCGTGCGTCGTCAACAATTGGGTTGTTAACAGTCTAGCAGTCACAGTTTTGATTGGATCATCATCAAACTTTGTCAGAATGTTTGTCTCAATGAAATACAGATCTAGTTCGAAGATGGGTCATCTTGGGTCAAAAACTAGGTCACAGGAGCTAAAAATAGAAAAATCTTGTTAACACTCTAGTGGCTGCAGTTTTGATACAAATATTCTGGAAATTTGGCAGAAAGGTTGTTTTGATAATTTCTAGGTCAAGTTTGAAGATTTGTCATCTCTGGTCAAAAACTAGGTCACAGGGGCTAAAAATAGAAAAAGCTTGTTAACAGTCTAATGGCTGCAGTTTGATCCAAATATTCTGGAAATTTATCAGGAAAGTTGTTTTGATGATTTCTAGTTCAAGTTCAAAGATGGGTCATCTCGGGTCAAAAACTAGGTCACAGGGGCTAAAAATAGAAAAAGCTTGTTAACACTCTAGTGGCTGCAGTTTTGATCCAAATTTCCTGGAAATTTGTCAGCAAGGTTGTTTTGATGATTTCTAGGTCAAAGTTTGAATATGGGTCATCTCTGGTCAAAAACTAGGTCACAGGGGCTAAAATTAGAAAAATATTGTGGTTCGAGTCCCGGCTATGGCGTGCCAATTTTTCGTGCGAGTTGCGAGGTCTTATGTATGCCCCACATTAAATATAAACCCCACAAGTATGGTCTTAAATAGACCGATGCCCCGTAAATGGAGGAATGTAACTGTATATATATATCATATAAGGTTTAAAATTGTTGTGTAAAAATAGAGAGAATCTTTTGATAATTTCTTTGAAGAAGCACACAAAAAATTAGGTTGATGTGTTATGAATTGTCTGACAAGTGAATAGATAATGACAATACTGTCATAACTTAGTTTTAAAGTGAATTGAGTTCCACTTATGTCACATTGTCTGGAAAACACATTTTCTAAGTTTTATTGTAGTTAATAACAGACTGCTTTTCTTATGCAAGAAAAAAGAAGTAATTATATTTACATCAATTTTCTGTGGTATATAAACATGATGTTTAAACAAACTGCTCCTCTAGATTAGATGTACATGTATCAAAATGAACTAAGAAAGTTTTAGGCTCTTGAGTGATACATTTATATCAAAATGTTAAATTGGATTTATATAATATGTGTGGGGTCTTTAGAGATATTTCAAAGTGATATCAAAAGGGACTTGTTTGTATAAAGGCTCTACAGATTTATATCAGGAAGTTGAATATTTATCAAAATGATAAAAAATGGAATTGGTGTCTGTGTTTGATGTAAAAAATATATCAAAAGGCTATTAAATGGGTCTTGTTTCTGTGTATGATGTAATAATATATCAAAAGGATATTAAATGGGTCTTGTTTCTGTGTATGATATAATATTATATCAAAAGGATATTAAATGGGACTTGTGTCTATGCATGATGTAATAATATATCAAAAGGCTATTAAATGGGACTTGTTTCTGTGTATGATGTAATAATATATCAAAAGGATATTAAATGGGTCTTGTTTCTGTGTATGATGTAATAATATATCAAAAGGATATTAAATGGGACTTGTGTCTATGTATGATGTAATAATATATCAAAAGGCTATTAAATGGGACTTGTTTCTGTGTATGATGTAATAATATATCAAAAGGCTATTAAATGGGACTTGTTTCTGTGTATGATGTAATAATATATCAAAAGGATATTAAATGGGACTTGTGTCTGTGTATGATGTAATAATATATCAAAAGGATATTAAATGGGACTTGTGTCTATGTATGATGTAAAGATATATCAAAAGGATATCAAGATATATGTGATATGAGTGTTAGAGGATGAAATCAAAATTTGGATATTAAAGAAGGAAAGATGAATGTGGATCAAGCTGGGACAAGAAATCAATGTTTGAGTTGTGAAACTGATATGTATTAGGATATATCTATGTTGTATATCCATGAAATAAAAGAAATCTATGACAAAGTCATATTTGATTATGAATTTAGTATGACATAAAAAAAGTTGACGTTTGAATATCAGTGTTAGTACTAAGGGATGTTAGTATATATAAGCTGAGATATCTAGGATAATGGACACTTGTTTTGGTTCAGGGCAAATCTTTAATGTCATTAGAAATATAAATGATATTAACACATTGAAATAAGATGGATATCATTATAAGAATAATATCTGTATAGTATGAAAATAGTATCAATGGACAGAGGGAAGTTATTGTGAATATAGATATAGAATGTAATAAAAGATATCAAAAGATATCAAATGTTGAGTGTTAAAATGAATTCTAGAACTAGAATAAGATATTTACATTCAATGAGTAGTGGAATTCTTCCTCTATCGCAGCATAACACACATGTATGTTTAATAGATTCGCCCTTTCACTAATAATTTAGTGGAATATACTTGCCCAGATTTAAATTTGGAAGTATCTAATATTATGTTACAAATAAAACGGCTGACACTCGATTTAACGATTTTTACAACATCGGTGGCTTTGATGATTTCTCAGTATGTGCAAAATTATTAGCTGAATAGCACATTTTCTGACAAGCATGTGTCAGGGTATTCGGCACATGTGACAATTTCTAGTTATTACAAAAGTTTGTTGAGTTAAAATTTGTTTAGGGTTTGCATTCAATGGTTGAGACATAAGAATTGCAGCCACCCTTTATTATTGCGTGATAATGTAAGAGGCGATTAAATGAATTCAATAACTTGAGTATATGCATCTCTTAGCTCAGCACGCACACCAAACTTTTTTTTTTTTAAAAAGACATAGACCTTCTCAAGTGAAAGTCTCAGAAAAAGCCTAAAAAGAATTCTTAGAAATGTTTTAGGCAGTAAGAGGTCTATACAGTTTTATTTTTTTATTTCATACTTTATGACAGTATAAGATTATAAATATCATGTCACATATTAGTTGCTAATTTGTATGAAAGTATAACTGAAAGACCCTCAAATGTGTAGTGAAAAGTTAAAAACTTGGTTACATTCACTTTGATTGTGTTATTTGAAACTAAAAAGTTACAGAAAGAATGATGACAGGCATAATTTTAACATCCGAGTTAGTTTGATACAAACACGCAGTATAATTATGATCATTAAAAACTTATTTGTAACACTGTCACTGTTTTTGACCTCTTATTATTGGCTAGCCAATAAGCCAGAAAGGAGCTTACATATATGTATGATTGCTACATTGTTTCTTGGCCTTAGTTGAAGAGAAAGCAGGTAGTAATTTAATGCTTGTTGAGGTCTGTTTTCTTGTTCCATGCATTGTCCTAGAATGTTTAGAGCTGTTTCTCTATGTGTAAGGTTTTCATCAGTTACTATGGTTCTTATAAGTTTACCAAGTGCTTGTTGTTGATCTTGATATCTGTTAAGATGACTATACATTTTATATCGTAGAAAGTACAGGAAAGGTAGAGAGTCAACAACAACCCAGTCCATCCAAAAGTCACACCTACCTCTGTGTATCATATCATCTTTTGTAGATCTGAACATTTCATATTGGAGTTCATGAGGAACGCATTTGATCTCTTCCTGTATGTATCTGACACAGAATGCTGTAATATGTTTTATACAATCCAAACTTTGTTCACCACATATCCTCTCGAATTCTGCTGTTACTGCTGGTGGAGGTTTATCCCAGCAGTCACAAATAGGTACAACAGGATAAGAGTCATATTGTTGTTCAGTGTGTCTCAATATAAGTTCAGCTTTCTCCATATATCCTGTACTATAAAGCACTGAAGCCAATTTGAGTCTGCTAGATGATATATCTGAGTGTAAACCAGCTGATAACCAAACCAATGCTTGAGGTGACACTTGATTATTTTCACCAATGCTGGATGATGCTAGGATAGATCCATATGTGGTAAAAAGAAAAGGTGCTAGAAACTTGAATGCAGCCTCTTCTAATCTATTAGCATTAACATTGAAAGTAACTAGTTTACCTATACAATGCTTCATTGTTCTAATGTTTTTATTTTGTAAATGTTCTAAAACAACCTTATGATATACGCTTGTAATGCGTGCTATGTTTAAATATTCTGAGGTTATAAATTGTTCATTCATTGCAATAGAAGATAGATAATGATATGCTCCATTTGGTACCATATTCAGTTTAACTTGCAGTCTATGACCAAGATCATCAATATCAATTGTAAGTAACTTTTGTCTGTCATTCTGTAAAAAATCACTGATTTTTTTTAAAAGTTCTTTTTTTTTCCAGCTGTAAATTGCCCTGCCATCAAATTATTTTCTCTGTTAATGAAATGTGAACAACGGTCATTCTGTACACAGCTATGTAATTCTAATAAGCAGTATGTTAAGCATATAAATAAATTGTTCTCTGTCCATATACTTGACT